TCGGGTGGTGGTGAGCGGCGGCAGCCGAACGGCGGCGAAGGCAGCGGTGCTCGGCTCGGCGGTGGCGCTCACGCACGGACGGAAGAGAGGGAGAGAGAGCCGGCGGGTGGAGAGGGAGAGAGGAAGGAGAGAGAAAGAGACTTGGCTTGGTGGAGAAGAAATGATCAAGAGAGAGAGACAAGGGCATTTAATAGCTTTGACCAAATTTCCAAGATTCCAAAGTTGCCCTTGCATGCTTGGTCCTCATTAATTCTTATCCAAAAAGTTGGGGGCAAATTGGTCCAAGGAAAATTGAATTATTGGGCTGATATAACCATAAATTAATCTTTAAATTAATCCCTAAATATCATCAAAATTCGGAATGCCCAAGATTAGCCTAGGGGCAAAATGGTCATTTTCCGATTTCAGGCCGAATTTCCATTTTTCGACCATACTAACCCTAAATATATGTGGCCACACTAAAACGACATCATCTTCGCAACATAGTCGCACACGACCCCGAAATCCGACGTCCAAGTCCGGATCCATTTCCGTGATCAAAATTGCTCAATTTAACATTTTAGGGTCTCTCACTAACGGGCGGCTGTTTAGGGGTTACGCGTATCAACTTAGGGTTACTCGAGTCGTGATGGTCTCGATTACCGGGAGAACGCGAGGAATTATCACTAGTTCTGGAGGTCACGATCGTTCGATTTAAGTTCGGGATTTGTTCGCCACGCACACTCTCGGTCGTGCGGAATCACCCGTGATCCGATCGTACGTCATTGGCCAAACCAAATCCGTCACCCTCCTAGGATCGGTTCACGTTGGCCCAAAATATTTCCTCGTCGTTTCTCGAAAATCGGTGCCTGATTCGCGATCGGGTCCTTGGTCCACGTACCATTTTCCTAATTAGCCATTCCCTTCCGGTTAGTATCCCGAGAGAGCTCAATTTCGTGCAAGACTTACCAAAATTAAATGAGGAATAATATCAATTTTATTGATCCCGGAAATGAGTCGAAATTCAGGATGTTACAACTCTTCCCCCTTTACAAAAATTTCGTCCTCGAAATTTGCAATCCAAACCTATCTACTCAAACAGATGGGGGTGCTGACGTCGCATGGCCTCTTCACCTTCCCAAGTGGCACCTTCGGTTCCGTGGTGCTCCCATACGACCTTGACCATCGGGATCGTCTTATTCCGCAACACACGATCTTTTCTGTCCTCGATCCTTACTGGTCTTTCCACATATGACACCCTGTCGTCCACGTCTATCTCCTCGTACCTTAGAACGTGGGTCGGATCTGGTTCATACTTTCTCAACATTGATACGTGGAAAACATTGTGTACTTAGGACAAATTGGGCGGCAAGGCAAGTCTATAAGCCATATCCCCGATCTTCTCCAAAATTTCAAATGGACCGACAAACCTCGGACTTAACTTTCCTTTCTTGCCGAATCTGGATAATCCTTTCATAGGCGACACCTTGAGAAATACATGATCTCCCACTTGGAATTCCAAAGGTCGTCGTCTCCGATCGGCATAACTTTTCTGGCGGCTTTGTGCAGTCCTTAACCTATCCCTGATAATCCCAACTGCCTCAATCGACTGCTGAACCAATTCTGGGCCTGTGATACTCCTTTCACCGACTTCATCCCAGCATACTGGCGTTCTGTACGCCCTGCCATACAAGGCTTCAAACGGTGCCATCTGAATGCTTTGCTGATAGCTATTATTGTAGGCGAATTCTACCAGGTGTAGCTGTTCTTCCCATTTATCCTGAAAGTCTAAAACACAGGCACGCAACATATCCTCCAAAGTCTGAATCGTCCTTTCAGACTGGCCATTCGTCTGTGGATGATAGGCCGTACTGAACCGTAACTTCGTTCCTAAGGCCGATTGCAAACTTTTCCAAAAATTGGCCGTAAACCTCGGATCACGGTCTGACGTGATCGATACTGGTACTCCATGCAATCTAACGATCTGTCGAACATACAATTCCGCATACTTTTCCAATTCGAAATCCTTTCGTACTACTAGGAAGTGCGCGGACTTAGTCAGTCGATCTACTATCACCCAAATGGAATCATGTCCTTTCTGGTTCCTTGGTAGTCATGAGACGAAATCCATTATGATATGCTCCCATTTCCATTCAGGGATCTCTAACGGTCGCAGCAATCCTCCCGACTTACAGTGCTGTGCCTTCACTTGTTGGCACGTCAAGCAGCACTTGGCCACATCCTTTTTCAGTCCACTCCACCAATAGTGTTGCCGTAAATTCTGGTACATCTTTGTACTACCTGGGTGAATACTGTAGTTACTGCGATGTGCCTCACTTAAAATTTCCTCCTTGAGCTCCAAATCATCAGGCACACACAATCGTCCTCGGAACTTCAAAATTCCGTCCTCATTCACTTAGAATTCCGATTTCCTTGCAGCGGCATCCAATCCAACAATCTTTTGTATTTCTTGGTCCGTAGACTGGAATGCCTTAATCCTTGCCTAGATCTCCGGTTCGATTCTCAATGCGGCCATCAGACTAGACACCTGACTCAGCTCAAATTTAAACTCCGAGTCTCTAAGCCTTTCCAGAAAGGTCCACTCTTTGACCATCATATGCGCCATGCTTGACTTACGACTTAGCGCATCCGCTACTCGATTTGCCTTCCCCGGGTGATACAAGATGTCGCAGTCGTAGTCCTTCAGAAGTTCCATCCATCGGCGCTGCCTCATATTTAATTCCTTCTGTGAGAACAGGTACTTAAGGCTTTGATGATCTGTAAAAATCTGGAACTTTTCCCTGCATAAATAATGCGTCCAGATCTTAAGGGCAAAGACGATCGCTGCCAACTCTAAATCATGCGTCAGATAATTCATTTCATGCGGCCTCAACTGGCGCGACGCATATGCAACTACCTTTCCATGCTGCATTAGCACACAACCAAGTCCTCTTAGCGACGCATTACTGTATACCTCAAATCCTCCTAGCCCAGACGGAATGGTCAAAACTGGGGCAGTTGTCAGCCTATGCTTCAACTCTTGAAAACTTTTCTCACATTTATCGTCCCATTCAAACTTAAAATCCTTCTTCAACAATCGTGTCAACGGCATGGCTATCGACGAGAACCCTTCTACAAAACGTCGATAATAGCCAGCCAATCCTAAGAAACTTCGAATTTCTGTTACTGAGGTCGGTCTAGGCCACTTCATTACTGCCTCAATCTTTGTGGGTCCACAAAAATTCCATCTCCCGAGACTATGTGTCCAAGAAACGTCACTCTGCTTAGCCAAAACTCACACTTATTGAACTTGGCGAAGAGTGCGTGTTCTCTTAGGGTCCGTAGCACCTCAGTCAAATGCACCTCATGTTCCTCAGGATTCTTCGAATACACCAATATGTCGTCAATGAACACTATGACAAATCTGTCTAAGAACTCTTTGAACACCCTATTCATTAGGTCCATGAAAGCTGCAGGAGCATTGGTCAATCCGAAGGGCATCACTGTAAACTCATAGTGCCCATACCGCGTCCTAAAAGCGGTCTTAGGTATATCCTCCTTTCGGATTCTCAGCTGATGGTATCCAGTCCGCAAATCAATTTTAGAAAACACGGACGCCCCTTGCAACTGATCAAATAAATCGTCAATCCTCGACAGTGGGTACTTATTCTTAATCGTCACTTGATTTAACTGCCGGTAATCAATACATAATCTCAATGTCCCGTCCTTCTTCCTTACAAACAGGACCGGTGCTCCCCATGGAGACACACTAGGACGAATGAAACCTTTGTCCAACAATTCCTGCATCTGGACTTTCAGTTCTTTCAATTCTGGACGAATGAAACCTTTGTCCGATACGGTGCCTTTGAAATCGGTTCTGTGCCCGGGGCCAATTCTATCACAAATTTTATTTCTCGCTCTGGTGGCAAACCCGGCAATTCCTGAGGAAAAACCTCGGGAAAATTACACACTACCGGTATCTCTTCCAACTTAGGTTCTGCCACGGTGGGATCTACCACATTCACCAAATATCCCTTACATCCTTCATCCAACAACTTAGTTACTTCGAGCGAGGAAATCCAAGGGATCGAGGTTCCTCCTCGATTTTCCTAAAATTCAAATTTAGGATGTCCAATTGGATTAAACTGAATCACCCTACTGCCGCAATCCACTATGGCTTTATGCTTAAACAGCCAATCCATTCCAATTATCACATCGAAATCGAACATGGCCAACACTGCCAAGTCGATCCTTTCTTCTCTACCCCCAATCGCTATTTTACAACTAGGACACCCCAATGACACTAACACTTTATCAATTAGTGGGGTCGTCACGCAAAGCATAGTCTCAAGCACAACATGTTTAATCCCAACCAGCCTAACAAACTGCTCTGAAATAAATGAATGGGTCGCCCTCGGGTCAAACAATGCATACGCAGCATGATCACATAAAGAAATCGTACCTGTGACCACACCCGGCGTATCCTCCGCCTCTCTATGCGCCATTGCATAAACTCGTCCTTGCGCTGACGGTCTGCCCTGGTTAGCCGGTGGGAGATTCCCGGCCTGATTCCCTATTCGGTTTTGCTGCGGTTGCCTTAGAGGTCCTGAAGGGCTCTACTGGAGACAGGTTCGAATCTGATGCTTCAAACTCCCACATCTAAAACATGCCCCAACTCTGCTCGGTGGAAGATTCGGCTTCCCAATATTCCTCCTAGCGGGTGGGACGAAAAGACTATTTCTCGTCATCGGTTTCTTTCCGAAGCGGCGATTGTCCCTGATCTGGGCAAACCGCGATCCAGATGCGGTTGCCCTGTCTACCTGGTCCCGTTTAAGAGCCTGAGCTCTATCATAGATGTCCTCATAGGTCCTCAAATTCGCCGGTATCAACTGGATACGAATATCAGGTTTCAATCCTTCCCGGAACCTTCGTGCCTTATCCTCGGGATGTTCCACCATCCTCGGCGCAAACTTGGACAATCTAGCAAATTCCGCCTCGTACTGATCTACAGTCATCTGACCTTAGCGGAGTCGCATAAACTCTGCTATCTTCCTTTCCCTGGCACTATCCGAGAAGTATTTCCCATAGAAACTTTCTATAAATGTTGCCCAAGTCTGGGCGACACCTTCCGGAAATACTCTACCCCTGGTGGCCTTCCACCAATCATTCGCATTTTCCTGCAACTGGTATAACGCTAGGGTCACCTTCTCCTGCTCGGTGCACCTTAATACCTCAAACGCCTTTTCCAGTTCCTCTACCCATCTCGGTGCAGCCTCGGGGACACCTTTTCTAGTAAACTTGGGTCGCTTTAACTTTAAAAACTGCTCTACTCACTGATGCATTTGCCTATTCCCGGCTGCCTGAGCCTGCCCAATATTGGCTTGATTTCCATTCATGGCAGCAGCTGCTGCAGCCTCAACAGCCTGGGCCATGGTGGCAGCCCTTTCCTGAGCCTACCTACCCATAATGTTTCCTATCTCGTGCAGGGTTTGAATAACATCTTCCATTCTAGGGTCTCTGGCCTCTTGGCCTCTTGCACTCGGTTGCCCCTGGGGTTTCTTTCCTCGTCTCCTCATTGGTACTGATCTCACTACCCGCCTAACTGCTATAATTCCATCCGAAATTAGAGACCTAAACAAGCTAAACCGGTCTAAGGTCCTAGGCAGTTAGCTAGCACATCCACAATCAATCACTCAGCATGCGGCTAAGCACAAACAACACAGGACCTCAAATAAGGAGGTACACGTACTCACCTCAGGTCCTGCTGCACCTGCACTTTACGGGTCAATTTATACAACCAAACAATCAAGACACAGACAGTCAGGAGGTATAATTAGCATACAAGGTCACCCTACTGGCTACCCAAGGTCATCGCTCCTTATCACTCCAGACTTCGACCTAGTTGGATCGAGCTGACTTTGCTCTGATACCAAATCAAACGGGGATGTCACGCCCCGTACCCCACGACGCGCAACATCCTACGCAAAGGTCGAATTTGTTGCGACGTCCCAGGACACGTCGCCGACCCAACGCCCAACATACAAATCATTGCACATGCGGAAGCAACATATATAAATATATATATACACCCGTACAATAAACAACATAACCAAAGATAGCACAATACGGGAATCCACCGGATAAAAAACATATACATTTCATTACTATTAAAATATGTACAATATCCATTTACAGGGAGTACAAACAACGGACTCAAAAACTGGTTAACTGCCACTCAAGTAAAAAAGGATCAGTGGCCAGGGATCAGGGACACTAGACTTAGATAGGGCTCTGGTAAAAAAGGTACAGCCCGATCTATCTAAAGCTGGGACTAACCTAGGGGACCCAGTCCGGGTCAGAAACAGAAGACTCAGAGGATGAAAAACTATCAAGCAGCTCCTCCTCGGAATCTAATGAGTCTAACTCGGACTCAGCCTCCGCGGCCTCCTCATTCACGTCCATTGGCTCTACTAAGTCCTCCAGCTCCATGTCCTGCTCCATGGGTTCTGGTTCTTCTTCTGCTTCCATCGGCTCCAGATCATCTACCTCCCAGACAACAGGTTCAACTCCAGCACTCGAACTCCCATCAGACGAGGCTTCAGGGCTAACTACGTCTCCATCAGGACACCGCGAGTCTACCTCACCCTGCCCGTTAACCGGGACATCAAAGGTACGTAGAGGTCCATGCTCTCCGAATTGATCCCTAAAACACCAGGCTACATATTCGTGGTGTTGGGGGTACGCCTCTCCTACATCAACCAATATCATAGTATGATACCTAATATACACATTCCCATTCCATAAGGGATGCTTGGTCGACGTCCGCCCTAGTTGGCGTGGAATTCCAAAACGCACTGGAGCATCCGGCATCCTCAGGTCCAGGGGTCTGAAAAGTTTGGGTTTATACAATAATGAGACGAATCTCAGCGAGTAAAAATCCACTGAACCTAAACTAGGCTAACATGCACCTCCTGACAGGTATCCAAACACATTCAACCAGTACGCAACCAATAATAATGACATTGACCTAGGCCCTCGGGCCCAGATCACTTACCTTGCTGACCCTGCAGGTTAGGCAATTTAATATAATATCCACGGCACATACACGACACACTTGGTCACACGTACGCCATACACATGCTCATTCTCGTTAGTGCCTGTCTCACACACGAATCACCGGCACGCACATTAGCCACATACTCTGGCACACATTTACCATGCTCATGACCGGCTCAATCATGCATACTCGCACACTGCCAATTTCCGTTTATTAATCGACCCGCGTAAAAACGCATAGGGCCCGACCCGTAGGCCAACAACACTTCACGGCCCGCGCCGAAGCACATGCGGCCCCGTGTCTCTAGCCCGCATAAACGCATCAGGCGCAACACCGTTCTCCTTACGGATCAAAACCCGCGTAAACGCATCAGGTTAGCCGTCTTCAGGACGAACCGGGCATCGTCCGGCGTAAACGCATCAGGACGGCATCGACCCCGCGTCGAAACGCATTAGGCCATTAGTGATCACACGTTCATGCCAGGCACGCACACTTGCAAAATTTTCGTCTCATGCCCAATCTTGGCACACAAAATGGTCGGTCATGCAATTTCCGCACTTGAGCAAATGATGCAGTTCAAATGAGCATATAATTCCAACTCTGGCACATCAATGAATCACTAATTCATATGAACATATAATTCCACATAGCCCAGCACATAATTCACACTCTTGGGCATCATAATCCATGCCAAATCAATGGCCAATCGCACACCACATTAATCGGTCACACAACCACGCTGCATGATATCATATAATTGGACACAATCAAGTACCAATCAGCCATTGAATCATTCATTTCAAGCAATCATGGCAAAGGCCCAATTAAATCTCAACTTAGCCAAACTAAGTCAAATTCGGTTCTATGAGGGCAGCCACAAATCAGTCCATCTTATGACATTAATCCACCTCCTAATTAGCTCATTTAACTCCCATATATACCACAAAATCATCCACTAATCATCAGCCCATAATCAAGCCTAATCCCAATCTAATTAACCCCTAAAAATTCACCTAACCTATCTGGAAATGCAATCTTGGCCTAATAAAGGTTTAGGAGTTAATTACTCACCTAAAACCTAAACTCCAAACAAGGCTAATGGATGGGGAACGAGTGGCCGATTGTCGGCAAGCGGCGAAATGAGTAGCGGCGTCCCGGTATGCTTACGGCGGCGCTTGATCGGAGGGCGGCGACTACGGCGGTTCAGGGTGGCAACGGGGCTAGTCGGCGGTGGTTCACGGTGAGGGAGTGATCGGTGAGGTGGTGTGGACGGCGAGACGGGCGGACGGCTTGGGCGAGCGGCGGTCCGGCGGCTTCCTCACGCCGGCGTCCACGGCTTGGGCGGGTCCGGTTATCCTCGGCAGAACGGAAGAGAGAGAGAGAGAGAGAGAGAGAGAGAGAGAGAGAGAGAGAGAGAGAGAGAGAGAGAGGGACGAGATGGGGACGGTGGTCGGGTGGTGGTGAGCGGCGGCGGCCGAACGGCGGCACGCCGGCAAAGGCGGCGGTGCTCGGCTCCGGCGGTGGCGCTCACGCATGGACGGAAGAGAGGGAGAGAGAGCCGGTGGGTGGAGAGGGAGAGAGGAAGGAGAGAGAAAGAGACTTGGCTTGGTGGAGAAGAAATGATCAAGAGAGAGAGACAAGGGCATTTAATAGCTTTGACCAAATTTCCAAAATTCCAAAGTTGCCCTTGCATGCTTGGTCCTCATTAATTCTTATCCAAAAAGTTGGGGGCAAATTGGTCCAAGGAAAATTGAATTATTGGGCTGATATAACCATAAATTAATCCTTAAATTAATCCCCAAATATCATCAAAATTCGGAATGCCCAAGATTAGCCTAGGGGCAAAATGGTCATTTTCCGATTTCAGGCCGAATTTCCATTTTTCGACCGTACTAACCCAAATATATGTGGCCACACTAAAACGACATCGTCCTTGCAACATAGTCGTACACGACCTCGAAATCCGACGTCCAAGTCCGGATCCAATTCCATGATCAAAATTGCTCAATTTAACATTTTAAGGTCTCTCACTAACGGGCGGCTGTTTAGGGGTTACGCGTATCGACCTAGGGTTACTCGAGTCGTGATGGTCTCGATTACCGGGAGAGCGCGAGGAATTATTACTAGTTCTGGAGGTCGTGATCGTTCGATTTAAGTTTGGGATTTGTTCGCCACGCGTACTCTTGGTCGTGCGGAATCACCCACGATCCGATCGTACGTCATTGGCCAAACCAAATCCGTCACCCTCCTAGGATCGGCTCACGTTGGCCCAAAATATTTCCTCGTTGTTTCTCGGAAATCGGTGTTCGATTCACGATCAGTTCCCTGGTCCACGTACCATTTTCCTAATTAGCCATTCCCTTCCTGTTAGTATCCCCGAGAGAGCTCAATTTCGGGCGAGACTTACCAAAATTAAATGAGGAATAATATCAATTTTATTGATCCCGGAAATGAGTCGAAATTCAGGATGTTACATGGCAAGGCTAGCCGATAGGCCAGATCTCCAATCTTTTCCAAAATCTCAAATGGACTTACATACCTCGGGCTTAATTTTCCTTTCTTGCCAAATCGGGACAGTCCTTTCATTGGCGACACCTTAAGAAAAACGTGGTCACCAATCTGAAACTCCAAAGGTCTTCGTCTCCGATCGGCATAACTTTTCTGACGGCTCTGTGCTGTCTTTAACCTTTCCCGAATAATCTCAACTGCCTCAACTGTCTGTTGCACCAACTCTGGACCCGCTATACTCCGTTCACCCACTTCATCCCAACACACTGGTGTCCTGCACGCTCTGTCATACAGCGCCTCAAACGGTGCCATCTGAATGCTCTGCTGATAGCTGTTATTGTAGGCAAACTCGACCAGGTGTAACTACTCTTCCCATTTACCCTGAAAATCCAATACACATGCACGCAACATGTCCTCTAAAGTCTGGATCGTCCTCTCCAATTGGCCATCCGTCTGTGGATGATAGGCTGTACTGAACTGAAGCTTCGTCCCTAAGGCCGTTTGTAGACTTTTCCAAAAATTGGCCGTAAACCGGGGATCACGGTCCGAAGTGATCGTCACTGGTACTCCATGAAGTCGGACAATCTGTCGAACATATAAATCTGCATACTTTTCCAACTCAAAATCCTTTCGTACCGCCAGAAAGTGAGCTGACTTAGTCAGTCTATTCACTATTATCCAAATCGAATCGTGTCCTCTCTAGCTCCTTGGTAATCCCGTGACAAAATCCATCGTGATGTGCTCCCATTTCCATTCGGGAATTTCCAATGGTCGCAGAAGCCCTCCAAGCTTATAATGCTGCGCCTTTACTTGTTGACAGGTCAGACATTTCGCCACATGCTTGGCCACATCCGTTTTCATCCCATT